ATTTTATTTCAGAAATCCGACTTTAAGATTTTATTAAATATAAATTTCAGATAGTAAAATAAATGACTTTAAATTGTTAAATTAATCATAAAAATAGTTTTTAAAATATTTCAAGCCGAAAACTTTTGAATCCACCTTTAATGGTAATCCGAGATCTCATCTCAAAGGCCATAAATTTGATATCATTCCTTTGCGTGAAACATGAACAAATCTAGAAATATTTTACTTTACTTTAAATTAGAATGAAACAAGCATTAATTTTCAGTCGGAACATCAGTAACTTATTTTGCGTCCACACAAACGACGCCACCCTAATGTGCATACTTATTTACATACTCACAGTTTAGTATTAAATTGCCAGACTGGGTGTATTTCAAATGAAGATAATTTCAAATATTTTCAATTAAAGCAAAATTTCCCATACAACTACGACTCTGTTCAAAGTTTTTATTGAGCGAAAATAAAACAGCACGCAATTTCCGTTTTCCCAGCATATTAAATCAATGTGTTACACGAAACAAAATTTTAGCTTTGTTTCCTTTTTTCCCATTTCATTTCACATTTTTTTGTTGGTTTCCGGTTTTTTCCTTCAATATTATTTCATTTTTGTTTTGGCTGCATGTAGATCATGTTGAAAACTGAAAATCGCTCGTAATAAATAAATAAAACACAAAAATATCTAAGGACATACACATCCCAGCAGTTCGGATGGTTGCCAAGCGGAACTCTATTCGCCGATTATAACGGCATTGAGATTTCGAGTTGAAAAATTCCTCTTTTGGCGAATAAAATAAACACTTCATACTAGATGCCGTTGTGCATTACAAAGAGTATATTAATGGCAAATGCCTCAAAAAATGGAGGCAATCCAATATCTACACATTTGCAAAAATATTTCTTAATGGTATTGCAGTAAATCCATATAAAACTGTTGGGCTATTAGCAGCAAGTGGCAAGTACACTTTTTGGTAAAATTTTTTGGTTTAATTTTAAATGGCTTCGGTACATACATATATGTATATGTGTATGTATGTACGTGTTCTTGTTCTCGAAAATGTTTGTTAGTCTGTAATTTTATTTGGTTGTTTTAATTAAGCCATAAATTTAAAGTTTTAAATAAGTTTAATGTTTATAATAAAAGTTAATTTACAACTTTGTTCAGAATATTGAAATCTTTTCATAGTTTCCGTTGTAAATATTTGATAATTTAAGGCAAAAGTAATGATTTAGGAAAGTAGATTTTTTTGCGGATTTTCTAATTAGTATTTTCATAATTTATTACCTTTTTCAAACTGTAAATTAAGGTCAATATTTTCTAAATGGGGAATGTAGTACACAAACAAAGTGGAAGTTATATAAAATAATAATTAAAAACAGTTAAAAAAGGTTAAAGTGTTATATTCGGCTGAGCCGGATCTTAAATACCCTCCACCAGCTACTTTTATATTAATACTTCTTTAATTTTGATCAAATATTTGTAGAAATCATTTTTCTCATGTCTTAAATAGAAAAACCCCAGCTTAAATCTGTTACAATTGCAAGATTTATTGAACATTACATACGCCATTTTCTTTTATATTTTTAAAGCGCCTTAAGATATGATTTAGCGATGTTTAATAATTTGTGTGAAAGATTCAAGGAAATTCAAATTTTCGGGGCAGAACCTAATATGGGAGATATAACCAATTATGAACCGATCGTAAAAAAAGCTATATTTCATTCAAATTTTGTATCTATATCGTAATTAAGTAATAAGTAATTTGTGTTTAAGTGATTTTCGGAAGGGAACTTTGTATGGGACCGATCGCACCCATATTATGAACCGATCGTGGAAAAAAATCTTAAAATATAATCTTTGTATACAAAACTAATATTTGTTCAGAATTTTGTATCAATAGCTTTATTTGGTAATGAGTAATGTGCGTTTAAGAAATTTTCGTAAGAAGACCTTGTATGGGAGCTATGACCAATTATGATCCGAAAATTCCACAGTAACATTAATGTAAATAAAGAGAAAATTTTGGCTAAATTCTGTATCTATATCATTATTTGGAAATGAAGATTGTGCATTCAAGTGATTTTCTGGAGGAGATTTTGTATGGGCACTATGACCAAATATGGACCGATCGTAAACAAATTTTATAGTGTGATTTATGTATATAAGAGCAATATTTGTGCTAAATGTGCGTTTAAGTGATTTTCGGAAGGGAACATTGTATGGGAGCTATGACAAAAATAAACCGATCGTGAACAATTTTTTAAATAACATTTCTGTGTACAAAAATATTATTTATGACAAAAATTTTTATGGATATCACTATTTGGTAATGAGTTGTGTGCCTTCAAGTGATTTTTAGGAGGGGACCTCGTATGGGAGCTATGACCAATTATGGTCCGATCGGAAAAAAATTCACAGTTACATTTCTGTGTACAACAGCAATACTTGTACCAAATTTTATTTGGATATTTTAATTACGAAGTGAGTTATGTGCGTTTAAGTGATTTTCGCGAGCTATGTCCAATTATGGACCGATCCAGATAATTTTTTCTCTAAATGAATTCTATTGACATAGAAATTTAATTTGTCAAATTTTGTGAAGATATTAACATTCTGACGGAAGTTATTAATAATAAACTCATTTTCCTGGAATATGCACTTTTGTATGGGAGCAATATGAAATTATTTACCGATTCCGCCAATTTTCAGCAGGAGTCAAACTGTGTAGAAACAAATGTATGATGATTTTCATGAAAATATATTGCATAGTTTTCGTGAAAATAACATCAGAATGTTTTAAAAATGCTTATTCTTTAAGAAGTTGTTTTCGATTTTGATACATAACTTTTCCCGATGTGAACAATAGGGAATATTCTCACCAAATTTCAATAATTTATCTCACTTCGTTGTTACGTGAGCGTGTTTTACACAGACAGACGGACGGACATAGCTAAATCGACTCAGAATTTAATAAGGACCAAGAATATATATACTTTCTGTCTCAGATCAATATTTCTTGGTGTTACACACGGAATGACAAAGTTATAAAATATACAGAAATTATAAACCAGTGATTGACAATTGCAGTGTAAATAGTCTTCCTTATTTCTTTTTGGTTTAATTTAAAACCAATCTTAAGATTCAACATTCAAAACACTATGTTCTACTTAACTTTAATACAGACGTTTCGTTTAAATCTAAAATGTCTGAGACAAAGAGTGTAAATTTAAAATATTTCATGTTTACATTTTCTGTAAAGAAGTAACAGTGTTTAAGAATTTATTATTTCTTTTGTTATTTTCCTGTCTGCCAACCTGTTTTATAATGTTTTTTATTCGAATTCCCCCTTTCACATTTTTTAGAAAATAGTTGGAAATAAAGAAAAATGTATTTTTAAGCTGTTAAAATGTTTTTAACATGTTGCATAAACATAAATTGTGCAACAACGTGTAAACTACCCTCCTGACTGGTTATATGGAGTAAACGTGTTATTGCATGCATTTATTTATACAGTCATTTCTTATTTTTTTCTTTTTCTATGTAACAATTTCACTTCAGGCATTCATTCATTCAGTCTACATGTAATTTTGAAGAGTATTTTTAATGCTATAAAAATAAATGTTTGTTGCTGGTCGGGAAAAATACTTTTAAAAGTCTGACTTTATTTTTTTAACCTTTACAATACCTGAAAAGTTTAATATTCTGTTTGCAAATTCTAAAATCAGATATTCAGTTCATATTGTGTGATCATCGGAAATTTCGGATAGACAGACAGGGAGTGTGATGATGCTGTGATAAAGGATGTAACAGAAATTAATTATGTATTTTTTAAGCTAATATTAGGAACAAAAATTGCTACAAAATCTATATCGGAGTTAAAAATATTAAAATTTTAAAATATCAATGCACGTTAGCTCGAAAATAACTAAAGTTATGCGAAAATAGTCTAGACCTAAAATGTAGGGAATTTAATTTTTTATGGAAATTATAATAGCATCGACATATAATAAGAGAGACATTCGTTAAAAAAAGTTTTTTGTTACCTTTAGTCGCCAATATCTCCCCAGAAGAAACTTACATTGAAAAGTAATGAGTTAAAAAGCTAATAAAAACTCTTTTCACTACTTCTTCATTAGCATATTAAGTCATTATTTTAACACGGTGATGTCATTGGATGCAAGTACTTCTACGCACGCTTACAAATAGGGAGTTAAAGAAGTACTTGCAATTTCTCTTACAAAACAGTTGTTTTGTTTCTTAATATGAAAAGAGCCAGCTAGAATACGAACCAGGGACTTCGGTTTGTTAGCCAAATATTCTACACACTGCACCACTGCTTAGCTATTTTATTGCGGGTCAAATAATGGTTTTCACAAACAAAACTAATTTTGTTTTATTTTTTTGTAAAACACAATTCTTAAAACGCAAGTAAATAAAAAACAAAATGACAAAGCCGAAAATAAAGTACTTCTATATCAGATTATAAGAAAATCATTACTAGAATACTTCTAAGTAATCCAGACGGTAAGTAGTAGTCATTGAAAAGTAAGTGGTTATGGAAGTACAACCCATTACCCATATTTATTGTGATTTTTAATACCCTATTAGCAATGGTAAGGAGAAGCTATGTGCTATCTAAAATTTCGCAGCAAAACCCCTTATTTTCCTGAGCAATTAATTTTTAATATTAAAAAAGCTTTTTAATTATTTTTTCTAAAATTTCTGTTCAAATTTTATTTTATTAGTGGACCGATTTTGCTGATTTCAAATAGCAAACTTCTCGAAAACATATCTAATAGAATAATTGAGGATTTGGATCCCGTAAGCGATAACTGTGGTCTTCAGAAAATGTATTTCGATAGGCATATAGAGAGACAGCTTAATCGACTCCGACCTAGAATGTATATAAGGTATACAAATTTACATATTCCATGTTTGATTGTTCCTTCACAAGGTGTATAAAATTTATTTTATAAATATACAAACTAATTCCTTAAAATATTTATAATTATTCATAATTTACAATTTTTTTCTTATAAGTATTTACAATGCTAGACATTGGGTGGTATATAGGAATGACTGACGGGATGACTTGTATAAGACACTGGTTGATGTAGCGGTTTCTTACTAGCAAAGTTAAGAACTGGTGCTACACCGCCATTGTGAACTTGAGTCTTACCACCCAAAGTTTCATATTGTTGCTGTATAATTCGTTGAGCATTGACGGCTTCTTCTTCGGTGCGATATTTTACAAAACGTACTTCAGGTTTATTGGGATTTTGAGTGTTAAGATTTTGCAATTGCTGAGTTAAGCTGCCAATATCTGTTTGTTTCGTAAGAACATAAATGGCAGTTTTACTTTCAACTCTACTTCTAACTAAATTGGTGATCGCATTTGCAAGACCATTATTTTCAGGAGCTCGTATGAAAATAACACGTAAATTCATTTTACGTGTTTTTGTCAGCTCCCCTATGTTTGGAACATCATCGAATACGTTGTCGGGTGCCGAATATGTGTAAAATTCTTTTTGTAACACAACATTTGGGAAAGGTGAGTGGTTAGTACCGGAGTTAATATTTTGACTATCGTAGTTGTATCCAAGATTATTAGCTTGTGCTAAAGTAAATAATGTTACAAATACCTAGAATATTAAATAATATTAATTTCATGTAAGATAATATTTATTATGCCTAAAACTCACCAGAAAAGCACGCATACTTTTATTTTCTTAAAAATAAAGTATCAATTATTTAATGATTATTTTTTAGTAAGCGTTTCTAACCACTTCTGTTAACGTTTTGAAGACTATAAGAATACCGCTTTTTTGTTTTATACAAAATTGATGCATAATACGTAATATATATACATATATTTAATAATCATTCATAATTTAAAATTAAATTTTGATATACATTGTCATGCTTCGCATTAACAACTATCATGCGTTAAAATTTAAGCATCTTATTAAGTTAATTTAATCATATAAATATACTAAATCTTGTTTTCTAAATTATGTATGTCTATTGACACACTTTTGATCCATCACACACATTTTAATTAAATAAACTGCTCTATTCCGTGAATCTGTTGATATGAAAGCTCTATTATAATAAATTAACGTTGATAAATAGTAAGTTTAAATCAAGTTTAGACAGTTTTGATGAATATCTTTAATGGAAATGTGTTTTTATACATAGTAAATATACATACATATATTGTCTTTTAATGGCTTGTGTGAATTTTTTCTCTACTATTTTTAGCATCTTGTTAACTTAATGATTTTGTGACAGATACATATCACAAATCTAGAGCTGTCAATATTTTGATTTGCTTATTTTTGCATATATTATTTTTTTTTTTAGTTTTTCTATTGACAATTTTATTATATATTTTATAATTAATTGGCCTCGGCTGAAATTTTGCAGAAATGACATTAACATTTCAATTACGGTGATTCATTAAGTTAAGTTTAATATCTTTGAAAACTTTTAAATTCGATTTATTTTAAGATTTTAAATAATACTTTAAATAAACAACTAAGAAAGTATAGTCGGTCAAACCAGACTTTATCTAATTCTCGACCGAAATGTGAGCTACATTCAAATATAGTGTGAGGTAGAACACATAGACTCATTAATGCAAATTCTTTAAACTACATATATTTAAAAATTGTGCTCAAAAGCCCCATTAAGGGCGTTCGGTTGTATGGGGGCTAATAATTTCAAAAATTTTATATAGGCTTCTTCCTTTATATATCTTGAATATTTTCCGATCATAGACAACTAGCTAGGCGGAATGATATTGCATAATCGACTCAGGAAGTGATTTTGATCCGATTGATATATATTTGTGATTACAAACACCAGCACAACCCCATAATAACCTCCCTACTGTAGTGATGAACGGTTAAAAAATAATTAAATCATTTGTAACTAATCAATTATTATTTATTTCATTGAATTAAACAATTTGTTAAAAGTTAATTTTATTAATAATACCTATCATTTGGAAGATTGTTGGATGACAGCTACAATTAAACTTAAAAATTATTCAAAAATGAGTCGAAAGTGATTAGAAAAGCGGCTCATAAAAGACTCTTTTAGATGAGATGGCAAAAAAAATTGTGTGTGTCCTAAAATTAAATTATATTTTGCTTTAATTATCTTCTACGGAAGATAGTTAGAGTTAGACTAATCACTAAAGTATGTCTGGTAATCCTCGGGGGAGTTTTCCAGATTTTTCCTACCGAGCGCGTCCCCGGGTGGCGGATAGGGGGTGGTGATGGACCATCTGTCCTCTCCCAGCTTTAATTTCACTTAAGCTGAGGGAGGGCAGATTGTCCACCACCTGGGAATATTATATTCCCCGCGGACCAAAAAACTGGAAAAAAAAAAAAAAAAAAAAACAAATATGGAAAATAAAAATAAAAAGATAAAAGTTACGGTGCAGGGCCTAAATAACCCAGTACCGGCGGCAAGTGTTGATCTACTCGCGAGTCACGTGTCGTCGTCATCCTGCAATCGTGAGCAGAATACTACTACGGAGGTGGGTACCTTGGCCTCCGTGGCGGACAATGCGTCAAGTGTACAGCATGCCGCTGGCAAAAATATAGGGGTGAAAGAGAAGGATGTACTCGGAGAGAGCTCTAAGCTACCTCAGCCTTTAAATATAGGTGAGGGTTCCGACTCTGAATCCTCAGATGATAATAATAATAATACCATTATAGCAAATCCCAAAAAGGATGAAGTAGAGCAAATGGTGAAAGAGGTGAGTGATAGCATAGCTAAACTACCTATTACTAAGAAAAGACTTTCTGGAGCACAGAGGAGGAAGTTGAAAAAGATGCTTCAGGAAATCATAGTTAGTCAATCCCACGACACTCCAAAGGAATCGGACTCTCTCACAAGATCTGAGGCAAAAAGGATCAGGTCACCCGAGGAGTTGACAACTGAGAATAAGCCTAAGAAGAAAAAGAGCTCCCCGTCTTCTAATACACAGTCGAAGCCAAGCCATACTTCACTCAAAGGAATCTCAAGTGAGAATCCTGCGAGTAAGGGTGACAACGCCAAGCCAGATATTCCGAAGACGAACACGTCGGCGAAATCAACCTCGAAGGTAAGGGAATCTCAAAAGAAGCCCCGAAAAACGAGGAAGGAGAAGCTAGACGGAGGAAAAGGTAAAGAGCCGCCATCTTACGCCAAAGTTGCCAGAAGTAGGCACCGGGACGATCTCTGCTATGCAGTTTACGATGCCGGTAATCCGACAGGCAAAATTCCAATAGACCAACAGAGTAAAATAGAAGACCTGGTCAACAATAAGATAGTGGACCATGCAATAGCTTCAAAGGGCAAACAACCAATAGAGAGCGAGAGCTGCGAGTTCAGCATGGGCGTGATGTTGATGAGGTTGGCATCTCACCAATGTGTTAGCACCCTAAAGAACTTGGTGGAAAATATCCCTCCTCCCTGGGACGGCGCTAGGCTGGGACTGGCAAAGAAGAGCGAGCTTCCGGTGCTCCTAAAGTCCACTGTCTACATAAAAGGATGGGGCAGTAAACTGGCTAATGAACGTATACTGGAAATTCTTGGAGGTCAAAATGCTGAGCTGGCCGTGGAAAAATGGGATGTCTTTTACAGGAAAGAAGAACCTGAGGGAACTTTATTTGTAATAGGTATCGACCAGAAATCCATGGCTAGTCTTGCCAAGAATAAAGGTAGGGCTTACTTCGCCTCTAAATCTGTCATATTCAAAATTGGGAAGGTGCCGATTGGAAGGGCTGTTACAACAAGCCTCGAAAAGGACACTAAAAAACCTAAGACCACAGTATCCACTACTGATAACGTTGAGGAGTCAAATCCTAAAATCGAGGAATTTACCATTAACTCGCCAGAAGAAAGTGTAGTTGCCCTTTCCAAAATTGGGAAGGCGCCGATTGAAAGGGCTGTCAAAACCGGCCCCGACAAGGACACTAAAACACCTAAGACAGTACCCAAAGCATCATTAGCAAGTACTAGCAATGTTGAGGAGTCAAATCCTAAAAGCGAGGAGGAAATCACTCACCCGCCAGAAGACAGAACAGCAATGCTCTCCAGAATTGGGAATGTGTCTATTAAAAATACTGCTATTCCTATGCCTGATAAGGACACCGCAGTGCCATCAACAGTACTCACTGCATTAATAGCCACTTCAGGCTATCCGGAGGAGTCAAATCCAAAGAGCGAGGAGGTGACCACCAACTCGCTGGAAGACAGTTTAATGGATGACCATGATTGAGGTTATCCAAATAAACCTCCATCGGAGCGAGACAGCTACCAACGCTCTGATGGCTAAAATCAACACAGGTAAAATACATATAGCTTTAATCCAGGAACCTTGGACGATTCGCAACAAGGTTTCTGGATTAAATCACGTAAATTTCCAACTTTTCTACGCTGATACAGGATCTCGCCCGAGAACATGTATCTTATGTCACAAGAACTTATGTTTTCTCCTCTCAACAGGATTATCAACATCGGATGCAACGGTGCTGAAGCAAGGTCGAGGCAACATATACCTTGCATCTATTTACCTGCCTTTCGATTCTCCGACCCTACCACCAACGTCGGATCTGATGAAACTGGTTGAAGAGGCACAAAGGAAAAATAAGAAAATTGTAATAGGTTGTGATGCCAACTCGCATCATGTAGCTTGGGGTAGTACAAACACCAATCGCAGGGGACAAGCCCTCATGGATTTCTTTAATACTAAAGACTTGATAACATTGAACTTAGGTAATAAAGCTACCTTCGTCAATAGAATCAGAGAAGAAGTATTAGATATAACTATATGTTCAGAAGAGCTTATAAACGAAATTCAGGATTGGAGAGTTTCGGACGAGCACTCCTTTTCTGATCATCGGTACATAAGATTCAAAATACTAAGGCCACCACCAAAGCCGATAAAGTTTCGGAATAAGTCTAAAACTAATTGGACAATGTTCGGGGCCTTACTAAAGAACCGTTTAGGTCAGGACACTTTTCAATGTCGAAATAAAGAGGATATAGATGCCAAAGTGGAAACGTTCACAAGTGCCCTGGTTGAATCGTTCGAGGACAGCTGCCCTCTGCGAGAGCGGAGATCTGCCCAGGAAAAACCCTGGGTAACTGGGGAGATCCGGAACCTTGGGAAGACTCTTCGCAAACTATTTAACCGGGCACGGCGTAAAAAGACCGCAGTATACTGGGATGAGTATCGTAATAAACTTGGTGAATATAAGAAAATCGTTCGAAGAGCCAAACGAGACTCCTGGAAACTTTTCTGTGAACAGGTAGATAGCGTAAATGAGGTATCGAAGATAAAAAAATTCCTATCCAAAACTCATGTCCAACCGGAATCTATGATCGATGACACGGGCAGGAGGCTTGAGGATATGGAGGAGACAATGAAACTCCTAATGGATTCTCATTTCCCACCCGGTATATCGAATAACATAGATGAACCGATATTGGAGGAAGGGGAGGGTAACACGGAAATAGTTATTACAACTGACATGGTTAAAGGGGCAATCAAGAGCTTTGCTCCCTATAAAGCTGCAGGGCCGGATGGAATTTTCCCGGCACTTTTGCAGATGGAGGCGGGACTGGTTTCCGTACATCTGTCACAGATATTCACTGCATGCTTAAAATTGGCATATACCCCAGTTAAATGGCAGGATGCAAGGGTAATATTTATACCCAAACCAGGGAAACCTAGCTATGCGACACCTAAGTCCTATCGACCGATAAGTCTTACGTCCTTCCTACTTAAAACCTTGGAACGGATAGTCGA